CGCCTGTCGTGCAACATAAGCGCGTGGACAAGTAACACGACGTGATGCCCTTAGACTAGTCGTTGCACAGATGCTAGGAGCTGATGATCCAGCCATGGTGACTTGAGTGACAGAAGCTGAAGTATCTTGAGAGGAGGAGCTGATAGGAGTTATCAAAGATTCGTCACACCCGTTCTGTGCATTTGCAGGGAGACTTTCACTGAAAGCGGCAATTTTGGTCACAGAAGCAAAGTTAGACCTGGATAGAGAAGGGACATTACCGGCTCCAGACTGAGGTGCTGGCGGTTCGGCGGAAAGAAACTGCAGAGCATAAGGTACGATAAGGTCCCAGTTTTCCGACTGAAAGATATAAAATATAAGTATGGAATGATAAAAAATAATAAAAACTCCAAGAAAATTTGAAAATCTTGAATCCCTTTTTACTATGACTGATTACGTACTAGGGTAATAAGAGTTGGGCGAGTTTAAGCGAAGGTCAAAGCAAACAAAATTAACGAATAGGCTTTGGCTGCAATATGGTTATAAAGATATTAGTCGCAAGATTTTTTATGGGAGTAGAACAAGCTACTTTTAAACCTACAATAGACAACTGGCTAATAAAATAAACTAAGATAAAAGGGTAAATATTATTGATTCTTGCTTGGTCGTAGCATCCTTTAATTGTAGAGATAAGGTGTAACACTTTTCGTAATTATGCCGTATCTTAAGGAAGAATGAAGAATGTATCTCGTAATGTGTCAGATTCTTATAACTTTGGACGGTTGATTGGAAACATTTCTAGACATTAAATCAGCCACTAAATCATCAGCATCAGGCCTAGCAATAAACCACCCCCTAGAAAGTTAAGAAACGTATTAATTTCCTTTGAACATGATTAAGACTTGGTATTACTAAGACTAATCTACTCGGTTCAGCTTACCTCCTCATAAGCAATAAAATTTATAGATATATCCTTGCAAATAAGCTTATTAGAGGATAATGATCCTATTTGGCTTAGTCTTGACATTCGACTGGGTCTCTTGAGAAAAAACGGCTCCCAAAGCTAGGCATAACACTATAGCTTGCTAATCAAGTCCTTTAGTCATTGAGCTCATTGTCAGCATAAAAAATTTCTTACATCTAACTAAAATTCGACGAAGAAACGATTTAATCGAAGGTATGAAGACCAAGATGTTGTGCCTTTTGTATGGTCGCAGTCTTCTTTCGTTGTATAGAAGTTGTTTGACCTTCTTTCGCACCTTGGGCTGACCTTGGACGTGATCCCAGAAGAACTGGTTAATATAATCAGACAAAAAGTCCGGCCTTTGACGCTGCCTCATTAAACAGTTTGTGCGATCTAAACCCAATATAAACTGACTACCTCTATCTGAAGAAGCATTTGTACATACACAGTTTTCTTGTTTCATAATTGTTGGGCTTACTTCCATTTCTGGTGGAACCGACCTTCGAATCTCTTCACCAAACACTTCTACTCGAAATGGAAGTAAGCCCAACAATACACAGTTTTTCACTGAAAATCTCTCTAACGGACGAGGGGTATCGGAGGCGTAAATTGCTTAATCGAAAAGTGATAAACTAACATAGGGATTTACCAATAACTACTGCTGTATAATAGACTAAGCAAAACTTTCTGGAGAACGTTGTTGTGTTGTAAGCCTAGTTGAAGAC